GAATCAGTGTTTTACTCAGGCTCTTTGAGCTTGCAGGAAGAGAGACATGTTAAGGTTTATTTCATTGCGCAAGCACAGGCTCCATGAAGTTTCCTCCATTGCAGCACACGCATGCAGCCTCTGCAGAACTCGATTATTCACCACCCAGGGAGGTGTAAAAGTAGCCCTGATCATTCAACAGCATATTAGGGTACTAGTACAAGTCTTATGTTTACTTTTATTGTTTCTTCCCTTCTCTCCATCTCTAAGCTCATCTTCCTTCTAATTTCTTTCTCTTCTGTCTTATTTCTGTCTCATTGCTCCTACTTACTACTTTGCTCCTTTTCTCTATTTTGGTGCCATTCTTCCTGCCATTCCAAGACACCATCCATGTATCTTGCATTCAAATTCTCATAGAGAAAAGACCTGGAAGGTACAGTACCATCCAGTGTAGAGGGTCTTTGGATTAGGGCACATTGTTGCCCACTGGACTGCGGGATGAGTTCAGATGTATAAAGCATGGTGCCCTAAGCATCAGACACCACCCTTAGAAGGGGTGGTGGTTGTGGCTGGATAGGCCCTCTCACTCCATGTTGGGTGCCTTCTGTGGCCTGTCGAGGACATTTGGCACTGAGATGGAAAAGTAAGATGTTGTAACCTGTCCCAGAAGAGCTCCCAATATGGTGAGGGAAGCAGATACTTAAATACTCTAGTTTATGCTGTATTATAATTACTACCAGAATACTGGGAGGGAGTAGCTAACTGTCATAGAATGGTGGTTGGAAATTCTTTACTGAAGGCATATGAGATGTCAGGGGGAAAAAAGTCATCTGTAAATGTAGAGAGGTAGGAAATAATCTTGGTGTGCTTAAGGCGGGAGTAATTGAGTGCTGTCAGAAGAGGGCAATGGCTAGTATTTAAGGGACTCCAGGAAAAGGGCCTAGCATATGATACCAATGAGATTAGTGAGAGTGTTAGAAACAGAACTAGGAAAAAAATCCTCTTCTAGAAGTCAAGAGATGGGAGATCTACAAGACTGACAGTCCAATCAACAATGGCTTGTACCAGTGATGTCAGATGAAGATAGGACCAAGTGGCTTCACTGAGAAGGGGCCACTGAAGCACCTTGTTTTTTAGCAGCTCAATTCTGTAGGTCTAGTCTAGAAAGAGACTAGAACTAGAAACCTAATCTCAGTAGAGAAAGGTTCTTTGAAGCGCTGGATCAATCACAGATTCATTCTGAGGAATGTGTAGAAACCTCATGTTTTCTAAATAACAGGAAAGGAAGATAAAGCTTATTCTGTAACAATGGTTTAAATTTCTATTTATCTAGCTAAAATTTTATTTGTTTACTTTTTACGTCTTCAAAGTATTCCCAAAATACATGTTCGTTTTGCTAAAACGTCAGAAATATACAAGCTATTATTTTAGTTAAAATAACAGGTTTGGTTCTAGATATAAATAGGGCAAAAATAACTCTCCAAAACATTGATGTTTAATCAAAATGGTTTAGAGGCCCTCTAATCTCCTGGAGATTTTGCAACTATTTAAAGATGTTTCCTGCTGTAGCTATTATATTAATTGGAGAAGATGACAATCACTGCTATGTATGTGCATGCACACACACATATCTGGTAAAAAAAAAA